CCACGGACAGATGTATACAGCTCAGACGTGATTCAGCTGTTTTGGCTAAAATCGTGCTTTTATACATTGTATTACCTGAAATATTAAAGTGACGGATAGTACCATTCAATTATTTATCAACGACATCAGAACGGTAGTGAGCTTTTTTATAAGAGAAAACTGGAAGAAATTATTAAAAGTAATAATAATAATAAAGGGAAAAAGTAAATGAAAAAGAAAGAAAAATGGACGATTGTTCCGCAAACTACGTACAGGAGGTATTATACAACTATCTGATGTCTATTAGAAAAGAAAAGTAAACGAATTTGATACACTTTATCGTAGACTCGTGTAGCTTAACAATTTTTTACTACGTAAAGTAACGGTTAGCCAACGTAATCGTATTATCGTAACGTAAAAAACGTTTCAATTATCGACATTTTTTCTAATGTACGATTGCCGAAGAAGCAATATATACATACGGTTCGCTATCGCTCTGACTATCCAATTTTCAAAAGGGATTTTGTTGGTGTCGCCTTACAACGATATTTACGATTGAATCGACTTGGAAACACGAACGAATGGTTTCAAATCGGTGAAGTGTTTGATCATAATTAGCTGCGTTGCGCACAACATTGCACGTTTTTTATACGTTGAGGTATATTTATATTATATTCCTCAGCACGCAATAAATCCGAAACAAACGTTGTTATATTTGTTCTGAAAACGTACCTTTTCTTTCTTTTTACATACACACACACACACATAAATGTCCATTTTCTTTCAATCATGAAGAATACAATGAATGCGAACAGCACACTCGTTTATTCACTCGTGTGAAGTTGAGGGAAATGATTTATTGCGTGCTGGGAGAGAGGGTACACTTTGAAAATCAACCGAGAATACCCGAATCATTTAGTCAATGTTTTCATAAGAGAAGACTAAGGCGCCATTAAACGCAAATTCGCATCTCAGGGTTTTAGATCATTTGTAAACGAACAATTTAGAACAACAATTTCTTTGGATTGATAGCTGGGAAAAAGGAAGGCAAGGAACATGATAGCACAAAGAATTCAAGCAAGAAAATACATACACAGTCGAAAAAGGTCGATGCGTCTAACTCTGCAGTTTCTCACTCTATATATATATATATATATATATATATATAAAATATATATATATATATATATATGCCAGAGTTCTTCTCCGTTTCTTACCTTCTCAAGTGCACAAATGCGTTCCTTTTGTGAAACTGGCCCTCCTGAATCAAAGCTCAATCTATGTATGTGAACAATGTTACGACAATAGTCGACTTTCGGGTTTTCCAATTTTCTTTTCTTTTTTTTTTTTTTACTCTTACACGTTAGAAAATATTGTTTAGAAATTTAGTTACAGTCTTGATTGACAGCATAATAATCGGGGAGATCTTGTATGATTAAGTTTTTAAGATAGGACAAAGTGACGAGCGAGCGAGAGAAATTGGCAACCTGTGGCCATTATCGTTGGTCTATCGATGGCCGTCGTCCCACCAGTAGCAATGAAGAAGAAATTTAGCGGAGAAAATTCCGAAAGTCGATCGTGTCCTTTCCCAATCCTCTCGGAGTTTTATCATTTCTCGGACGGTTTCTCTATCGATGTGTATATTTGTTGATAGTTTTATAATTTTATATTCTTATTTTCATATGCAATGGCATACGAGACGCGCGCTGACCCCTCAGGGTATCGCTAAAATCGACTCATGCGACTAAGCGCGTTGGCGATTCGAACGAAGCAAATTTGTCAATTCTTTTTTTTTTTCTCTTGTATGTGTGCGTGCGTGCGTGTATGTTTTATGTGCGTGGTGTGTGTGTGTGTGTGTGT